TACTTGGTCACATTGTTTCATCAAAAGGAATTGAGGTTGACAAATCTAAAATCGAGTTAATTGCAAACTTGCCAACACCAAAATCTCTTAAAGATGTTAGATCATTCCTGGGACATGCTGGTTTTTATAGAAGGTTCATCAAAGATTTTAGTGCAATATCTAAGCCCTTAAGTAACCTTCTAACAAAGGATACTATTTTTGAATGGACTAAACATTGTGAAGAAGCCTTTGTTAAACTTAAAAACTTGTTTACTTGTGCTCCTATCATTCAACCTTCTGATTGGTCATTACCTTTTGAAATAATGTGTGATGCTAGTGATTATGCCGTAGGTGCTGTTTTGGGACAAAGAAAAAATAAGAAACCTTATGTAATTTACTATGCAAGTAAAACTTTAAATAGTGCTCAAATGAATTATACCACCACTGAAAAAGAATTACTTGCAGTAGTATTTGCATGTGAAAAATTCAGATCTTATCTTGTTGGATCACCTGTTGTTGTTTTTAGTGATCATGCAGCGTTGAAATATCTTCTTTCTAAGAAAGATTCTAAGGCTAGATTGGTGCGGTGGATTTTATTACTTCAAGAATTTGATATCACAATCAAAGATAAGAAAGGCAACGAAAATGTTGTCGCAGATCACTTGTCAAGATTGAAAACAGATTCAAAAACTGACATCACACCAATCGATGACTACTTTCCCGATGAATCTTTACTTTCTATCTCTACAATGCCTTGGTTTGCTAATATTGTCAATTTTCTTGTTTCAGGACAATTGCCAGCTCATTTAAGTACCTAAGATAAAAGAAAGTTCTTGAACGAAGTGAAGAACTTTTATTGGGATGATCCTTATTTATTCAAATATTGTCCTGATCAAATATTTCGAAGATGCATTCCTGATAATGAGAATGCAATTACAAAAATTTACCGTGCTAGATGTGCAAGATTGAGATTGTTAATGAATCATGGAATTCCTGAAGATATTCGCTGGTTGATTGAAGTAAAGGTCCGATTATCAGGTGAGTCCTCTAATTTCTTTATTTCACACATGCCTGAAACAGGTAAAACCACTTTTGCAAAGAAGCGTCGTGCAAAACGACGAGGAGTCTGTCATCGATGTGCTAGATGGACTTGTAATACACAATGTCGTTCTTTAGGAATGGTATCTATAAACCGTGAAGATAAAATACAATTTATTAAGGATGGCCTGAGTAAGGAGTCTTTAGATAATCTTCTATTGACTCTTGAGACGCATCCTAGTGGAGATGTGCATCGTGCAATTCATGATTTATGGCCACTATTTCATAAAGAACATGATCGACTTAGTCTTGGGAATCTGACTAAAAAAGACCCTGTTTGCCAGTTTTTAAGAAAACTGGATGGGAAGCCTATCCCCGACCCATAGAGGGCGTTTAAGCTATTCTTAAACGTAAAACCAAGGGAAGATGTGAGCCACAATCACAACTACCTGTACATACACATGCTTTTTTCAAAAGTAAATAAATAAATAAATAAAAAGAGAGAGAGAGAGAGTGTGTGAGACTCCAGCTGGCCTACATATAGGTGTTATTATTGCCTTTCTAATTCCTCATCTATAAAACCCTCTTTTCCTTCCTTTCATTTCTACTCAACCCATACATTCAACAAATACAGAAGTGTGTAGAAATGGCAAGTTCCTCAAGTCATCAAATAAGAAATATTTGTGTTTTCGATGGATCTAGTCCTAGGAAAGAAAAGGAGTTTTTAGAATCAGCAAATCATCTTGGTCAGGTGCTAGCTGAGAGAAAGATTCATTTAGTGTATGGGGGAGACAGTCTTGGGTTAATAGGAGGTGTGTTAATAGCTGCATTTTTAGGAGGTAGTCAAGTTTTAGGAGTCGTCCCTGAAGCTTTGGCACAAGAGGACATCATTGGAAAAATAATTGGAGAGGAACTTCAGGTCTCCACAATGTCGACTCGAATGAATGCAATGTTTAACCATGTTGATGCCTTCATTGCTTTACCAGGTGGTCTAGGCACATTGGAAGAGATCTTTCATATTTCCTCTTGGGCTCAATTGCACATTCACCATAAACCCATAGGTTTGTTAAATGTTAATGGTTATTATGATAAGTTGTTGTCTTTTCTTGATCATGCTGTGGAACAAGAATTTCTAACATCTTCTGCACGACAAATCATAATCTTTGCTACTACTGCTGAACAATTGATTGACCAACTACAATCTTTCATTCCTGTGATTGATCCTTCCATGAGTCGCATAAATTGGTCATCTACGGGATGCCGTAAAAAGCTTAGATTGGATTTGAGCCTTCATTTGTGAATTTTTGTGTCTTTTGGTTTTATTATTGTGTTTTGTTATTTCTTATTTTTGTTTCAGTGTGTTTTAGGTTTTGTCAGTGTTCGTTATTTCAGGTGATATCTTCTATACTCTATCTTTCTACCTTAGAACATTGAGGACAATATCTCGTTTTGGTTAGGGGTAGAGGGTAGTAGTTGATAAAAAAAAAATTGTTTTTCATTTCATAAAGCATGTACATAATTGTTGTTACTAGGATGGCAGAGTAAAGGAGTTCTTTTGTTAAAGTGACTCTTGAGACGCATCTTAGTAATCATTCTTAACAAGGTCTATTATAATACTTCCTAAAATATTCAGGTTTACAAACTCTCGTATTGTTACCACTTAATTCTGCTCATATACTTATTTAACATGTATTCTTAAACCTTAATTTACACACACATACTTTAACATATGATTGTGGGTTGCATATTGGATTATTACATTATTTATGTTCTTTTGTTAAAGGTAACAACTAAGGGAAAGGGATTGTATATAATTAAAAAACAAAAACAAAAACAAAAACAAAAACAAAAAAGAAGAAAAAAAGAAAAAAAAATAATGATAATAAAAATGTAGATAAGTTTGGTTTCGTAGCCTCTCTAACCTAAGCAATTAAGCCCGAAGGGGTGTTTTAACACCTAATACCCTAAAGTCAACTGACTTGGGAGCTATTGGCCCAACGCTTGTTACATGGGTTGAGGAGAAAAGCTTAAGGGAATCAAACATTGCACTATCTACATATCAGTATCTGCGACCCGAGTTACTAAGCTCGTAGGGGTGTCTTAACACCTAATGCCCTAAGACCAACTGGTCTGGGAGTCATTAGCTGAAAGCTCGTTACATGGGTTAAAGATGCATGATGTTTTTAAAGTATATGTATATAGAGTTAAAAAAAAAAAGACAAAAATAGTAATCCCAACCCAAGGAAGTTAACCTTAAACATTAGAACAAAAATTTTGTTTTCTTCCAAGAAAAGCCCCATAATTATGTGTTGATACATTGAGCACAAAAGAAAGGTTTATTAATATCTTGTTAAGAGGTATTGAGCAGATATATAAATTTAATGAGAGTTTGTTTATATGGATGGATTAATGGAAGTTAAATGATGAATACCTTGCTTTGTGAAATTTGCAAATTTGTTTTCTATTTTAACGCTTTGATTACTAGGGACTAGTAATAAGCTGGTTGGGGGGTGTGATTAGTACTTAAAAGTGCATTTTTATCATGGTTTTATATCATCATTTTGCACTTGAAGTATCAATAACTCCTTAACCAAACAATGTTTTATAATAATATATCTAATAATATAAGATACCTTTAATTTGTGATAAATGTTCATTTTAAATACAGGACTATCACATAAATGAAAGGATTGATTGATGACTTTAAGAACTTAAATTGCAAGGATAAAGAGATGGCCAAACTTAGAAAAGAGATGTCGGTGCAATCCAAACCGGAACACTGTTCGGTAATTGGGTCATATCTGGAGCTATATATCTCAGATTTAGTTCCAATTTATATAGACGGAAAGGTAAGACATAGGCCTACAACTTTCATATGGAGCCCAAGATCTAAAAAGGCCATTTTCAAGTCCAAATTATAGCAATAACAAAGAAGCTCGAATCTGTCTTCCAGCCCGAGCATTGTTCAGTATTTTGGCCATATATGGAGTTCTAGAAATCCAAATGAGCTGAATTTTTTACACAAGAAAGCTGAGACAATTTCCTACAACTTTCATGTTGCAACGGGCTCTAATTTTGACGTTATCAATGACGTTTTGGGCAGACAAGAGAAGATAAGGATTGTCACCAAGTCAAAAGTTGGCCACCCATTTATCAATTAGTCATCAAATCAATAGTTCCCAATTTTGGCCTATAAAAGGAGGCATTTGTCATGCATTTAGGCATCTTGGTTTCCAGATCAAGATCATGCTCTTCCTTTCTCTCTTTGTATTTTTTGTAATGTTTATGCTTTGCTTTCATTAATATTAAGTTTATGCCTTTCATTTCCTTTCCTTTACTTAGTTAACTTTTATGTTCTTATTTTGTTTATCTATTTTGCTTTCTTTCATTATGTGTAACTAAGTTAGTTATGTCAAGGTGAAAAGGTTACACTAATGGTGTAAGAATAAGTATAATGTAAACTTAATATGGACTTTAATGTTTGATACTAACATGTTTTATATTTGTTATCTTGTTCACTCTTTAATACTTTGCTTGTTAAATGACTAATCTTGATTTATGTTGTATAACACTTGGTACAATAAATACTTGGCACTTTCATAGCCCATAATGTATAGTATAACCGACACCTGAGCTATGAAAGGAACTTGATTTGTTGTTAACATAAGTTATAATCATGAATGCTTGACGAGATTTACAAGTACTAGCATTAATCAAATAAGATGACTAATGTAATCATGTTAACAATCTATAATCTGATTGGAACCCCCTTTATGTGTGGTTTCCAATTGAATAATAAGAGTTTATACTATACTTGTTTGACATACCATTAGTGGAACCTCTAACCTTGACATTTGTTATTATTATTGTTTAATCCTTACATTAATTTTCCATCTCCAAGTTCTCATCATCTTCTTCTTCTTCTCTTTCTTTATTATTATTAGTACTACTACTACTATTACTACTACTACTACTACTACTAGTATTATTATTATTATTATTATTATTATTATTATTATAGTTGTTGTTATTATTGCTATTATTGTTGTTTATAATTGTTGTTTATAATTTGTACAATTAACCTCCCTGTGGTTCGACCCCGGTCTTGCCGGGTTATTTATTTTAACCTCCCTATGGTTCGACCCCGGTCTTGCCGGGTTATTTATTACTTCGACACTCCTACACTTGGGAGAAGACATCAACCTTTTAGTCGTGTCAACCAGCAAAAGGTTCTTTTTTATATACTTAAAGACTCTTCGATGATTAAATTAGTGTTGGTTTAGAGAGAGATCAATTATACTTTTGAGCAAATAACTTTTTATGATATATTTACCATTATAAATAGAGAGAAGAAAAAACTAAACATGTCTGAAGGTTATATTTTTCCTTTTCTATAACCCCTGAGGTCCCTCCCTTTGTTCCAGGGAAAAGGGTAGTGTGTTAACAAAATATCTCTATCTTATCAAGATAAAAAGTCTCTAATGTATCAGGATAAGAGATCCTTGTCTTATCATGATAAAAATATCTCTTACTCATTAGGGTATAAATATCCCTAACTCATTAGGATAAAATATCTTTGACCTACAATCCCATTGATATTTAGGTCATAACACTTTGTTTGGCCATACATCTGAAAGATTGTCCCATACAAACAAAAAATAAATAAATGTTGATCCATCAGAATATATATAACAAATTTGTGTGATGATTTTTGAATAATAAAGATGATATATATCCCAAATGATGTAATATATATTTTGTCACTCAAATGTGTGTTTAGTATATGGTGCATGTTATTTTTGCAAAAAAATACATATATTTCAATTGAAAATACATATATTTCTTTAGATTTTGATATCAATATATTAAAATCATTGAAAAACACCTAAAATGACATCGGTTAATGTTTTTTCAAGGAAAAAAATAGTTGGAAAACCTCTTGAAAAAAACAGATTGAAAAAGAAAAAAGAACATTTTAAGATGTGCATTGTGTGTGTCGATAGTTAAGTCTTTACAAGTTTGGAAATTTAAATGGTATGAGAGGGATGAGTAGAAAACATAGACACATCCAATGCAGATTTTTTTTTCCTTTTCTTTTGAGATTGTGATCGGAAAAAATAAAATTAATAGACCTAGAAGAAGTTACTAGATTGGGTTAGTTTAACAGATACCTTTATGTTTTCATCTTATTTTTCTTAGCGACCTTAACCAATAGAAAAGGGGAACTTCCACCAACTGAGCATTAAATGAGAACATTTCCTTTCAACATTAAGTAATAAGCAAAAATGTGGGGAGAATTACATTGTGGATTACAAGACTAATCCACAGCGCATTTCTTTTTTTTTTCTTTTTTCTTTTCATTTTTTTTAGTTTTTTGGTCACCTTTTCCTTTTTTTTAATTTATTTTTTTGAAATTTTTCTTCCCCTCTTTTTTTATTTTTTATTTTTTTCTAAAATTATCTTTATCAATTTTATTTTTTTAAATATTGAACTAGTTAAAAAATTCACTTTGTGATTTTTTCTTTTAAAATACTATGGATTGCTACGGTGTTTTTCCACATAATTTTTCTATTTTTTTTAATATTAAGCTGAATGAAAATTTAATTTTATAATTTTTATTATTTCTTATTATTTTCTTCAAAATTATATTTTTTAATTTTATTTTTTAATATTAAACTGGTTAAAAATTACAGTTATAATATGTAAAGGAAGTAAGGTAGCTTCCTTGCAAATTACTATGAATCGCTACAATATTTTTTTTCACATACTTTTTTTTTTGTTTTTAATGTTTTTTTTTAAAATTATCTTTGTTAATTTTATTTTTTTTAATATTAAGCTTGTTAAGAATTACAATCACTATAACTTTCCTCACAAAACACCATGGATTGATACAATTTTTCCTCGCATAGTTTTTTTTGTAATTTCTTTTAGGTTTTTTTAATATTTTTTTAAATTACTTTTGTCAATGTTATTTTTTTGATATTGAGCCGGTTATAATTTAACTTAGTAATAAAGCTTCATCATGTGAGGAAAGCACTATGGTTTTCCCCATAAAAACACCATGGATTGCTATAGTATCTCTCTATATAGTTTTTTTCTTATAATTTTTTTAAAATTATGTTTGTCAATTTTATTTTTTTAATATTAAGCTGGTTAAGAATTATAATTATAAATAAGGCTAAATCATGTGGGAAAGCACTGTAACTTTCATCACAAGACACTGTGAATTTTTTGTCTCTGTTGATTTTTTTTTAATATTAAGCTGATTGAGAATTTAGCTTTGTAAATTTTTTCTTTGAAACATTGTGAATTGCTGCAGTGTTTTTCCACACTATTTTTTTATGATTTTTTTTCAAAATTATCTTTGTTATTTTTTTTAATATTGAGTTAGTTAAAAATTATAATTACAATAAAATTAAATTATATAGGGAAAGCATTGTTGTTTTCCTCATAAAACACTGTAGATTGCTACAGTATTTCTCTAAATATTTTTTTTATGATTCTTTCTATAATTGTCTTTGTTGATTGTATTAGGAAAAACATTGTAATTTTTCTTTCAAAATATTGTTAATTGCTACAACATTTTTTCTTATGGGTTTTTTCCATTTCAAAATTATAAATAAAGTTAAATCATGTGAGAAAGCACTATAGCTTTCATCACAAAACACTGTGAATTGCTACAATATTTTAGTATGGTTTTTTTGTTCCTGTTTTTTTTTAAATTATCTCTGTTAATTTTATTTTTTTAATATTGAACTGATTGAAAATTCAGTTTTGTAAATTTTTTCTTTAAAACATTATGAATTGTTGCAGTGTTTTTTCATATTTTTTTATGATTTTTTTCAAAATTATCTTTGTCAATTTTTTTTAATATTGAGTTGGTTAAAAATTATAATTACAATAAAATTAAATCATATTGGGAAAGCATTGTTGTTTTCCTCACAAAACATTGTAGATTGCTATAGTATTTCTCTAAATAATTTTTTTAATGATTCTTTCTATAATTGTCTTTATCAATTGTATTGGGAAAAACATTGTAATTTTCCTCTCAAAACATTGTTTTTTTAATGTTTCTTTCTATAATTGTCTTTATCAATTGTATTGGGAAAAACATTGTAATTTTCCTCTCAAAACATTGTTTTTTTAATGTTTCTTTCTATAATTGTCTTTATCAATTGTATTGGGAAAAACATTGTAATTTTCCTCTCAAAACATTGTTAATTGCTACAATGTTTTTTCTCATGGGTTTTTTTACTTCCAAAATTATCTTCATCGATTTTTTTTAATATTAAGTTAGTAGAGAATTTAGCTTTGTAATTTTTTTTACTTTTTATTAACAAAAAAGCTAAATCATGTGACAAAAATATTTTATCTTTCCTCATAAAACACTTTGGATTGCTACAAATCATTTTGTTCAATGTTTAAGTTTTTTATCACCATCACAACTTTTTTCCGTCATGAAATATTGACTCTATCATACCTTTAGTTTTTATTACTTATCTAGTGTTAGTTCACAATTATAACATAATCAAGTATATTTATTTTATAAATCCGCAATAGTGCACAGACATCTGTTTGGGATTGTAGCCTTAACAGATGTTTGTCAAAATTCTATTTTTTATTTAAAATTAATTTTTTATATGTTTTCAAATCATTTTGATATACTGATGTAAAAATAATTTTAAAAAATAAAAAATATAGTATTTTGATATATTTCTAAATAAAAATATATTAAAAAAAAAGAACTCCATATTCCCATACAAATTTCAACATTCTTGATTTTATAAATTCCTTTACTACATAGGGTTTTTGGCATCATCACTAGTACACTAAATAAAGCATGGCCTCATTACTCTTTCTGAGGTAAAGCAATTCAAATGAATAACATATTTATCTCTAATTAAAATTTATATTTTCATGTATTTATTTGAAAACACGGTCCAACTAGTATTTTAAAAAAATTTGATTTTTTTGTTTGAAATTTTAATTTTTTTAGTGTTTATGAATCATTTTGATATGCTGATATAAAAAATAATTTTAAAAAAATAAAAAAATATATTATTTTAATGCATTTTCTAAATAAAAAATACTTTGAAAAGTAATCATAACTATAACCTTAAATATCCTTCCGATCTAGAACCTGGTGTGGTGGCAATAAACCAACCAATTATGTGGTAACAAGATTTCAAATACCTAACAACTTGGAGACAAACTTCATCAATCATAGGTTTGTCTGTGAATAATTCTGCTAGAGTTGCATTATAACAAGATGGGGATATTCATCTAAAATTTTTAAAAACTCCTAAAACCAATTTAAGAAACTTTTTGAGGTTCGAAGAAAAGGCATTTATATGGTTTGAAGAGTTTAGGACTCCTCTAATGTTAAAAATTATGGCCATAAAAAAGAAAAGACTATCGAGACATGTAATGATATTGAATGTCAAACTAGTTGTATTTTATATATATAGGCATCGAGAGGATATAATGATCTTTAATGATTTATAACTAGTTATTCAATTTTACTTGTAAGATCAGTTCTCATATTTAATTAAATTTTATTTTGATTGAAATTAAATTAGTTATTTATTTCAAGTGAGTTGAAAGGGGGAAAATTGTCATTATTGCTTTAATTAACAACATAAAAGGAGATTTTATATTTTCTTTAAATTTAAGGATTAAATATTCGATATTCTCCAATTAAAACTATTAGACTAGATGACCATGTTAAGGAGTGAAATTTGAATCCGAGCAATCAAATGGATACATATAATACTAATTTATATACACACATGCATGCATCTATGTATGTATATATTTCATTGTTAGTTTCAATTGATAGGTATCATTTGACAACTTCAATAGTATTTAATATACTAGATAATATTGATTAGACTAGATTGAATAGGATTTGATAAATAATTGTTTTGTTTTGGATTTGGTGTGCTTTGAATAAGACTATATAATTTATTTTATTTTATGTTTAGTAAATACTAAAAAAACATTGGTTGACTTTAGATTTAGACTAGTCTTAGTTTAGGAAAAAAATAAATGAAGAATTAATCTGACCCAACCCGATCAAAAACTCAGGTTAACCTGCGACCCAATCATCTTGAGATAAAACATAAGGAAAAAATCCATTATATATATTGGTCAAAACGAGACTACTTTGTTTTTTTTTTTTTGGTTTTTTTAATTTGGGTTAATCTAGGCTGACCATCATGACCTATGTCATCGGCTTTGTCCTGGGTCGACCTTTTAGCCGAGTTTTAAAATTATAATAATAATCATTTTTATTCTTATATTGAATTGAGTCAATGGTTAACCTGAGTCTTGCCCTAGATTGACCTCCAAATAAGGCTTTATAATTATAATAATAATTATTTTTATTATTATCTTGACCTCGATCAATGATCAACCAGGCATGTGATCAAGGCCTGACCCTGGTAGACTTCTAAGTTGAGTTTTAAAACTATAGTAATAACCATTTTTATCCTTATGTTAACTCAGGTTAATGGTCAACCTTACTCGTAACCTAGGTTTGACCCTAGGTTGATTTCTGAATTACGTTTTAAAATTATGATAATAATCATTTTTATCTTTACGTTGACCCGGATCAATGATCAATCCAACTCGTGACCTGAGACTGGCCTCAAGTCAACCCTTAAATATAATTTTAAAACTATAATAATAACTATTTTTTCTCTTTACATTAACTCAAGTCAATGGTCAACTTGACCTTTGAGTTGGGTTTAAACTATGATAATAACTATTTTTATCGCTATATTAACTTGGGTTAATGATTAACTCGAGTCGTGACCCAAGTTTGGCCTCGAGTCCACCTCCAAATCAAAATTTAAAACTATGATAACTATCTTTTTTATCCTTATAGTGACCCAGTTCATTGATCAATTTGACCTGGATCTGTGTCGGGTCGATTTCAAATTAGATTTTAAAATTATGATAATAACTGTTTTTATTCTTATATTGATCTAGGTCCATGGTCAACCCAATTAGTGACTCGAGCCTTATCCTAAAGTAGATATCTAATTAAATTTTAAAATTATAATAATAATTATTTTTATTTTTATGTTAATATAGATGAAATAGATTAACTCTTGTATAACAAATTTAACAACCTTGTCCTGCCCCTGCCACTTATAGTAGGACAAAAAATTCTATATCATATCAACCTTAGATAGGACAAAAATTGGTGAACCAAACAACACACAAAAATTATCATGTATAAATCTATCATTATCCAGCATAAAAAGTACTGCCATCATGTGCATCTTTCTTCCTCACCTTCCTTTCCCTTTCCCTAGCACACAACGTTTTGCCGAGGCTCCGCCTTCACATTTGGTCTCGACTCTCAAGTGCTTTCTTTGAATCAAACGCACAACGACATTTTCGACCAGAATTCGATCAAACGTTAGGTGATTTACCACTTTCTAAGTGTAATAGAATATAATCATTATTGGTCAACATTCATCATGAACGAAAAGCAAGGCTGAGAAGCCAAATTTTATTGTCCTTCGCATACAGCATGCGCGCAGCTCCCCCTCTTACTCGAAAGGATTTTATAGTATTTTTCCCTTGCAACTATGCGACCTGATATTGTACATCTCAAGACAAGAAAACGTAAAATCGTAATTGATTGATTGTTTCACATGATTTGAAAACCTTTCATGCTTTCATTCAGTTGTAATGCACTACAAAAATAATATGTATAAAAAGGCTCATCAAGCTTTCTGATACCACCACAGACCTGACACTTCACCCTTGACAAGATGACAGAGGACACGTTAGGTAGGTAGGTTCCAAGAATTTGTCGTCACGGCAACTCATGGTAAAATGACCCATAATGAATATATAACGAGGAGACATGTGAAACAAACACAGAAACTGGCCTCAATCACGAAACCAGACTGACAGCAATAAATTACAAGCAGTTAAACGACGAAAAGGCAGACAAGACGGCATCAGCTGAAAGCGAGCATTTGACTACAGTTTCAACAGGGTAATACAATTGAATGGATAACGGAGCAGAACGAGAAGCGAGACGTTTGTTACCGGCGGAGATCGATAATCATAAGCATTAGAGCGCGGAAGGCCTTGGAGCAAACAACAATTGATAGATAGCAGTCACCGTACAATAAGTTCAATGCAACCTGAGGGAGAGCTGTGCCAAAAACACAATGGAGGGAAACAAGCAACATGGAAGATTAGACGAGGTACGGATATACAATACAATTTCAGACCGATAAAATTGAGCAAGAATCATGGATTTTTGCTTATTAAAAGCATTAAAAGACTCATTTGGATTCGAACATGCAAAGAAGCAACTTCATGTTTACCTCGGTGAAATGATTATTAGGCTCTTGAAAGTGAATGTTAATTGTTGCATAAAATAACTTGGCATGATAATGATACAAGTTTATTAATTGTTGAGCATCACGCCTTCATCTACCATATCATCTATTTTTAAAATATCAATGCTATGTCTTTCATAAAAAAAAAATCTTACCAATTAAAGATTTTCATCCTTTATCTTGAAGTCATTTCAAAACTTTAATCAAATCCATCACATTTATAATATCTTAATTATTTTTTTGTAATGTTTGAGATAATTCATCTATGATCCCTAGTATATTTTTCATCAAATGCAAATTAAAAAAAAATCATAAAATTATATCAAATTGTAGTGCACAAGCTTCGCTCATTTGCTCTAAATATACATCTTCAACAATAAACTTAATCCCATCAACAACATAGGCAAATAATATAATTAAATTTATCAAAAATTTATAATGTGAGTCTCAACTTGTATCATCGACTCTTCAAAGTATAATTTCTTGACGTAAACCTTGATCATTTAAAATGTCATCATTATAAAGTGCTTCAACTATCTTGCTCTGATGCTTCTTGCAAAGAAGATTTTTTTCCTTAAATAAGGCTCCCATAACATTTATAAAACTAGAAATCACATTGAATAACAAAGCAATATGAACATGGTTTTTTTGTCACATCAATAAGTGTTAGTTGCAATTAATAAGCAAAACAATGAATATAATATGAATATAATATGCAAATGGATCCTCTTTTATTGTTAAAGCTTTCAAGCTATTAAATTCACATTGCATATTACTAGCAATATCATAATCTTTTTTTTCTTTCACGCAGGTATGATATATTAAGTCCATGTACGGTAAACAATGCCTCATTTGTTTTCTTAAGTGATAAAGCAATTATATTTTTAACATGTATAGTATCAAGAAAGTATTCAATAACATATTCCTTCACATCTACGTAGCGTAGAATAACAATCATTTTCTTTTTAACCAATACATCACAAAACTTATCAATTAAAATAATGAAGAACTCATTACCAAAATCATTCAAGATAATATTGGTGGTTTCTATTGCAACATAAATAATATTTTTTTGAATGTCATGAGCTATATTTTTTATTGATTACCATGAGATTTTTCTAAAACAACATCGTTATTCCTCGATTATGAATGACAAGAAACCATAAAATTTAAGAAAGTTCCTTCGATTCTTTGGATCCTTAGATTTAGCACAATCATGAAAAACTAATCTTTAACACAAAAAAAATGAACACAATCAACAGTTATAATCAATTAAATTCAATAATCTTTTTAAATTTAATTTGAAATTCTGGAATAAGCATATTTAATATGTTGCCTTTGATTAATCAAATCTTGGCATTTCTTCTGATTTTAGTTGTGAGCATTATTAAGAGCTCCAAAATGAATCTCAAATCTTTTTTAACCCTTCCAGTTATTAAATCTCATGCCACCAACGTAATCTCCACTTGCTTGATTTCTCATAGTAAAATATCATATCATCATTTTTACTATTCTCTAACCAATAACCATGCTCTTTGCACCAAATTGGAACAAATCTGATATATATTCCTATATTTCTTAAAGGAAAATTTATAATCATGGGGTTAGCAGAGATCTTTTTTGCAAGTGATCTCTTCAAGCTTTGTCTCTATCATTAAGATGATATTCAAAAAATTTCATAACCTGGAATTCAAAAAATATCATCTAAATTGAGTTTCTAATAACATGTTTTTGATGAAGTGCCTCCACTGTTGTATCCTCGACATTTTGTTTTTTTTTTTTTTTTCATAACCTATTCATGACTAAACAAATAATCTAATTAGAACATAATTAAAAAAATACACATCAATACCATAAGTAATTTAAAATATTAGATAATATTCATTTCTAATGAATTTTTTATCCAATTTAAAATTCTACATCATTACCCAACAAGATAACAAATGAGAGGAAGAAAGGATGATCATATTAATGAATTATACGCCATTATTCAATTTTGAATTCTACATCAAATAAATAAGGTAACTAGGGAAGAGAAATAAGAGATGAATTTGACATTGATTTAAGAAAGAAAATAAATAAATAGATTCACATAATTTTCATTTTCTTTGATGCTCAATATCCATTCAATAAACCATCCATTGAGGAACAAAAGCACATCCAGCAAGTGCTCTTCTACAGTCAAGCGATCGAATTGGCTGCATATCCTGTTATCTAAATAAACAGGGAAATGAAAGTGAAATGCAGCTTAATTTTATTTTACAAGAACAAGCAAAACTAAATGTAGCACAAAATAGACTACAATATTCCGGTTTCAATACTTGCAGTCCTGCTGTCAGTTGTTATGTGATAATGGGAAAACCTCTGCTTGCATAACTCTCATGAAATACAGGCAGGTTAAAAAAGAAACTCATACAATCTCCTTCCTCTTTTATCTCCCATGTCCAAAGACAGATTTGATGGGAAAGGTCAGGTACCAAGTAAGGTACTGATTTAGCAGGGGTCAGATGCTAAAGGAAAACATTCAATTTGCGTCTCAAGGTCATCTTTATAATGCTTAAAAAAATCACAACAGTTATATAAGCATCCCGGAAGAGAGTGTTTCAGTTGGTTGGGGGGGGTTTGATTACCAGCTCCAGAACCAAAGCAAAACCGTACAGGATATATAGAGATCAAAGAATGAAAATGTTGATCTATCAAATACAAGCATCCACAATATGTATCATATGGAACCTCAGTTTTACTGGCAGGAAATATATTAAGCCTGCGTATCCTTTAAGGATACTTTAACTCTGCATTGTGCTTGTGCTTCTGTTTACCATGAAGTACCCCGGAAACTTCTGAAAGCGGCTTGGGTTGCTCTGGAGTGTTGATGGGACCAAACTAATAAGTCTTCCCAGCAACCAGCTGAGCTTCAAAGTTCAAACAAGAGATGAGGTCTGGGTACTGGAAAGTGTAATGTGGCAGGATTTATAACCATGAAGAAAAATAAAGGAGCGTATAGACACCTTATGAATACAGAATAAAAAATATTGCATTTAATGAAAGAAAACAACCACATAATATAATCACAAATTTTCACAATACATTGAGAAGACATCATAAATGAAATAGTCTTTCAATGTTATCAAGCTTTCAATGAAGGCCATCAGTTAGGAATTACTCCAATTCATTTACTGGTGTGAGAACATGAACCTGACAGTCATCCATTTTGAATAAAATTTTCTGTCTGCAATGAAATTTGTTATGAATAAAAATTCTCATAAATAAGCAAATTTCACAACAATAGGTTAAAACCAATTTCAACTGCATTGATCTAACTGAAATTCTCTCAGGAGTTATTAAGCACCCTTTTTTCATATATTCTCAATGGCATAGAAAATGAGTAGAATTTAACCTCAACCACTCTCCCCTGGGTCCAGTAACAAAGAACAAGATGTATAAAAAGGGTTCATTATTTTCTAGCTGAAGGCAAACACTAATATGATTTCATTAGACTAGAAAGATCTATTTGTAATTTTTTCTTCCAAGGAAGCCATATTTTCCTTCCTATCTCATCATTTATACAGTTAAATATTCACCACCATCATGATCTGAAGAACAGTTATCTGAGGACAATAATAGCATTAACACAATAAACAGAAAATATAGTTGCTGGTATGAAAAAAGACAAATGCAAGAAAAGTTTCAGACACGAAATAAACCCAAAGAATACTGATAGCTTGCCACTGTCAACTTTCCATCCATTGCCACATCGTACTTGAATCAGACCCCATAAACCTTCCAAGAAATCCTGAAGAAAACATAAACAGTCAATGTTGAGATAGGAAAGAAACAAGCACAATTCAAAGAATTAGAAAGAATATTGCATTAAGTACATTGAAGAACATAAAAATCGATTCCTGCTTTCAATAAAAAAAATATCTGTAGAAAGGAGCCAATTTTTTCCATAAATGCATTTGTTATTTCTAAATGGTTAAGATGCTCCTGTTTTTACTTTTGCAAATATGTGATAACAGCATAAGAGAATACCAATAACAGAGAAACAATACCTTCTCGACAACATCACTCCCAGATTCATTATCATCTTCAAAAAAAGACAAACAGGTGTCAGAATTATGCCTTTTGATGCTCAAATATGCTTCTATACCAACCATGACACTCTCAATCTCTTCAGGAACTTGCTGCATGTAGATGTAGTGTTAGCAATTGGGAGACAGAGGGAAGTATCGCATGTGATATTAGTGCCCTTAACCAAAGACTGGATAAGGATATACAAAATAGGGTGGGGAAATAAGTAAAATTACAACAGAGCACGGAGACATTCTGCAAACTAGTGCTGATATGCAGTGACACCAGGAAAAAAAAAAAAAAGTTTCCTCTTCATAATATTTTGTGATGGTATCATGCAACTGAAACTCTTATTTGAAGAAAGAACTGCACATGATGGACATTAATGGAACAATTAGTAAATGCATGCCAACAAACTTGCACAAACCCTAAAGAATATATAAGCATTTAGATCTGATCAGGTTACCAGGAGCACAACAAAATGAACTGGTATAATAACAGCCTATTCATGCCAGGTATGCTCACCTGAAAATTATCTTGAGTTGTCTCCACCATTTTCTTCACGAAGTCCTCATTCTCAGAGTTCAGTAAGCCAACCTGTGAGAGAAAGAGAGAGAGAACAGAATAAGCAGGTGGATTCACTGTATTTGCGATAAAGCTTCACCTTAATAAGCATGTAAATCACAAGGGCACCCAATTCGACAAGGTACAAAACCAGACAGAATCAAAAGGAAATATGCAGAACAGAAAACAACGAGATCTATATTCTCTACAAGTAACATTGCATGTTGTGGATGTTCTTGACATTTATTTGGGCTTAGTGACCAAAGAGTCAACTCCACCACAGGGAAGAATAAGGACTTGGCATAGAAAACTCAGAAGACAATGAGTTTTATGCTAAACATGATCACAATACACCAAAATATCATTGTGGTACAAAGACAATGAGTTTGCTTCCCTTCATAGTTTTAAGTCTTGTTATAGTAGAATTTTGTGGTCTCTTTATCATCTTTTGATGTCATATAATGTTCGATTAATTAGGAAATATAGGCTAATGTCACTAAGGTTACAGGCGACTAAATAGACCATTAAATGTCCTGACTAGAAATGGACTTCATGGTAGAAAGAGCATCAAGGTGATCTTTCAAAAAAAGAAGAAGATGATTTTGCAGTCACGGGGTCCTCTCTATTCTGTTAGAATTCATGCCATCAAGATTTTGCAGTCATCAAGGTGATCTTTCAAGGAAAAAAAGAACACGGCACCTTTTGAATATTATCAAGAATACATGCCTATAGATTCCGTCTACATGAAACACTTTTACATGCAAGTGAAATAAAAGAGAACATAGTAAAGTACAATACCAAAGTTCCATAAAAAGGAATCTTGTGAGGCAACTGTTCAGCACATTGGAGAAGTAACTGTCATTCAGAAAGAAATCACAGTAAATAAAACAGCAAGTCAATCTTCCTAGGAAGCATTTTCTTGTTAAAAATAAGCTAATTAATTGAACTTTACAGATAAAATATCGTTGAAAGAGTGCTCCAACTCTCGCCGAAGTATGTTTCCTGGAAATATTTCAAAATCAAGAACACGATGCATAATTTAGAAGAAAGCTAGGGTTTTTTCAAGGAATAGTAGAAAAATTAGAGTGAGTGTGTTATACGGACAATGTGTTCTTTGAAGTCGGAGCTGGTGGCGTACTCGGAGCACTTCTCGCCAATTCGAAGAAGGAAACGTCTCCCTGTAAACCAGCAGTTCATAAATTTTAGGACATTCAAAGCTTAAAGCTTATGTAGTTGTAAATTTTAAAACTCATAAAATTAGTTAAGATATCACAAACTAGTCCGAACACATATTAATAAAAATAAAAATAAGAATAGCATCTAAGTGGGAACTAATTGCCGTTAGAACTTATGAACCAGTGTTTTAAATCTCAACTAGAAGTTTCCATTCGACTGTTGTTCAACCCAGAAGAAAAGTCAACATGGAAACTTCTTTTTTATAATTGAAAAAAACAAGAAACCATAGTTATTTCATCTAGGCTAAAGTTGAATTCGGTTGAGAATCATCGAATCAGTAAGTTAGATATTAAGGTGGATATCAAATGCATGTTAGCAAGAAGGAACATGAACTGCTTGTACAATACCGCGGTATCCCATAAACTACACTGAAGAAAACTATAGCAAATCATAAAGTATTTTGTTTTTTTCTCATTTGTTATTATTATCATTTGAATTAATTGAAATCATTATCCTCACAAGTTTCCAAACACATGAATTGATTTAATATTTAAAATTTAATTTAATTTCAAAACAACATAAAATTAAACATTAATATATTTTAATATATTTTAATAAGATTATATATTTAATTTTAATCGTGTTTGCAACTTTAATACATAGTTGGGGTGATAAGTAATAGATTTTATTTGTTTTTTAAAAAGAAAATATTTAAAAAAATTAAAAAAAATTATTTGAAATTGATTTTTTTTAATTATTTTGATACGCTGATGTTAAAAATAATTTAAAAAAATAAAAAAATTATTTTAATGTATTTAAAAAAACACTTTTAAAAACAATTCCTATCATAACTATTTTTTATATAAAAAATCGTGTTCAAATGCTAAAATTAAATAAAAATAATATGAAAAATCATTTATAATAAACGGATTATTTTTTCCTTTACAATGACTTTGTGCATCCACGAGTTCAGCAACTGAACTAGAAACCTCTGTTATTTCCAACAATTATCCAAGGTATTTGGCATGTTAATTTTTAAGATTGAGTTAAAATGTCATTAGAGCTTATGCACTGTCGTTAATTATGGATATTAGTGCTTCCCCAAAAAAAAACGATGATCTCGCGCAATCGCGCATCAATTTATCCAACAGAACATGTGGGTTAATTACGTTAATGCGATTCCTAGGAGTTGAGATTCATTGCCTCGGTGTTTGTCAACAAAGTTCAGTTTTTGCCTCTTCCAACCTGGTTGTTTTTCTAACATGTCCTTCTCAACAGAACATTTTTTATTGCCATGCAAGAATAAAATATACTGGCGCGAAACATTTTTTATATTACTAATTTAAAATTTAAATAAAAATCTATAACTTAACTTAACAAAAATTTTATATTAAAATATCAAAATTATATACAATTAATTATTTTTATCCTCTGCTTATAAGACACAAACAAAAAGTATAAATCACAATAAAATTAATTAATTATTTAAAAAGTTTGTAAATTCATTTAAAAATTTAATATATAAATCACTTAATCATATAAAAATAAACAAAACATATAATATGCCGCAGCTTTAAAGAAAATTTTATAAATTACAAAATAAGTTTAAAAATTGGTTTACATCGTATAAAGCTAATTATAATTTAACTTAACAAACTCAAACTTTGATAAATAGACTTTAACACATTAAAAACCTAATATTACTAAAATAATAAAATAAAACATAACTCAAATAAACCATTAAATAACACAAGTTTTAAAATAAACTAAAACATATATAAATACAAGCCCAACTAATTAAAACAAGATCAAAATTTGTTGGTGCAATCAAAACTCAATTTCAAAAACAAATGATTCTAAGTTGTCTTGAAGAGTTAGAATATCTACTATATAGTATGTGTATATATATTTTTTTGATTAAAACTAGAAAATTTAATTTTTTTTTATTTAATTTTTTTTTTTGTAATATCTGGATGCTTATCTGTAAGCTCTTCTTAAATATGAAACAAAATAATCAAGGAATTTTCTTTAACATATATTGAAGAAGTTCATCAATTGCTTCTTTAAATCTCTTTGTTGTGATTGGACGTAATGAAACCTCAAAGAATGTGTCGGTGTTGAAGCTAGAATTGCATATTGATATACCTATCTACCTGTTTCACAGATTTTGCCTCGTATATCTGATATCTACAACTGCATTACTCATTGCCAAGAGACCAGACAATGAACTTTTCAACTTGTGTTAATTCTTCTTCCGAGCTTTGGATTCAGAAATCAAAGTTCCTAATCCATTCAGAGTATGGTCTGCTATGTTTGTCGTCTGTGACCAAAATGTATTCATGTGTTATATCAATTGATTTTTGATGGAGTCTTTCTTTGCTTGAAAATTATCATTTACAGCTATCTTTTTTTTTTTTTCTCCCTCTTTTTCTTCGATCTGTTTATATGATTTCAGTATTTACCCCGCAGCGGAGTGCGGGTAACTGACAAGCATCAACTAAAACCAAAACCAAGTATAGATTCTCTCCGGACAATCTTAAGAGTCTAAAGGTGTTCGGAATCATTTAAATGTTAATTTCAATATTATAACTCAAAAAAAAAAAATAAGAAAGAAAGACAAACGCCCTTAATCATCTAATCTATCCATAAGATTTCTGCAACCAACTGTTAAAACTGAATAAATTTGTCGGTAAAGGTTTTATTGAAACCAAATGAAGCGCAGGGTAAACTCTACAGTTCGTCAGCAGGAGTTTCAATTATTCTGTGTCTGTAGCTACGTAAAAGAAGTTCTTTAACGTGGTGGAGCCAGCAACATGGCATTTAACGAGGGTGTGAGAACTACCTCCGTCCTAAGCCTTTAAATGCAGTTCTGGATGATGATGATGATAAAGAAAGAGCCCTAAACAACAGTAGCAGAAGAGAAGAGAGAGGATGACATTGATGACGATGAGTTCTGCGAGAGCAGCATTTTGTGGTTCATGTAACTTTCTCATGGCGGGTCCCAAAGAAGAACAGGGGACATGTTATGGGCACATGCTTACCGGGCCTGCGGTGACCTAGTTGCTTGCAAATGCACATGGAATACGGACACCTATGACCCCACAGTGGCAACTGTGACTGGCCCATCTGTCTACCATGAAGTTCATATCCTCTCTCTGCCCTCAATTTTATTTTTTCCGAAGTTCGGTTGTTTGTGCATTGATTTTATTTTTATTTTTGGCATATTCTTGGATGAAATTCTCGGATAGTAAGATTAAATTTCTTTCCAATGAAGTCTGTGTGACTGCTGTGTAAATTGCAAGGGCGGCCGGCAAGTGATGAAGATAAGCTTCACGGTGGCAGCAAGATAAAGGTAAGAGAAACAGAAGCCGAAGTGCCCCACCACAATCCAACGTATCGCTCAGTGCACGAGGAGGGCCCGATGGTGTTTCTTTTTTTATGAAGGGTACATGTGTCATTTGGTAATAAAGATAAAAAAACCATATAGCAGTGCTGAGACATGTATCTTGTGATTCTCTCCTCCTGTTCCCACACAAAAAAATCCTGAACGAGCTTATATATCCACTGAGCAATAAATTCAGCCAGCCGACAGGCCCAACAGGCAATTGCCTATAAATGGCTTTCCAGCATAGCTCGACACCAGCACTCTTCCATCCCATCCCAACTCACTTGTTGTACTGTTAATTTCTCTTCACCAAGAAAATGGGCAAATCAAGCATTGCCATTTTGTTATGCTCTCTGCTGGTGCTTTTTCTGCTAGGACAAAACCAGGTAAGGATCCACAACGCTATCTCTTTTGTCTTTCAAGAAATTCTTGCTTCAATTTGCGTTTATGCTAATGATCATATGATTCATATTGAACTGGATTGTCTAGGCTCTTAAAACACCAATCTCAGCTTCACAGCCACAACGACAGGGCAACCATGCAATGGTGAGACTATATGTAGCACTTACAAAGTGCCCTTCTTCAATCCATGAAGTGCATGATATTGTATTATTTCAAAGCTAACTCCTTTCCGGGTATTGCAGTATGGGGCCACTCAAGGCAGTCTTCGTCCTCAGGGTGAGTTACCTTTTCTCTTTGTTGCCTTCCGATTTTCTTGAATTTAACCCAACCGAGCTAGGAAGCTGGCAAAACTGCCGCTCATTCACGAATTGTTGTGGACAGAATGTGCACCAAGGTGCACCACCAGGTGCTCAGCCACAGCATACAAGAAGCCATGCTTGTTCTTCTGCCAAAAGTGCTGTGCAAAGTGCTTGTGTGTGCCTCCCGGCACGTATGGGAACAAACAGTCTTGCCCTTGCTACAACAACTGGAAGACCAAGAGAGGAGGGCCCAAATGCCCTTGAAAATTCATGTTTCTACTGGACCGTCCCCTTCCAGCAGCTGCTTAGTTTATTAGTAATCGCTATATATGTAACCAGTCAGCAAGTCATTTCCCTTTTTACCATATACCCTATTAACATGCACCTCTTATTATATGTCATCGTTATATTTTTGTCCTTTTTTTTAATCTATAGTAATTTATTGGGTTTTTTTTTTAAGATAACGATATTAATTTCGTAAGAAAAAAAAATTATAGATTGGATGTTCCTTGTGTTTGCAAGCTTGTTCCACCAGAAGTGGAAAGGATTGTTTAGCATGGACAAGGTGGTTTATGTTGCTCGAACTTGTGGTTGTGCGGTCTAACTGGAATGGAATGTAGAAGTCTATTATTATTATTATTATTATTATTATTTAGAGTAAACTAGATAAAACACATCAAGCCGGTCCAAATTTTTTTCAAAAAAATAATATTCAGAAAAAGATAATATGAGATAAACCAGGTTAAATTTACTAAAATACTACTTGGGATGTAATATTGAAAAATCCACAAAAAAAAAATTGTAAAGTTTAAGACTAAATAACCAAATATCAAAAATTAAAAAAAAATCAAAAAATATAATTCTAAAAAAAAATCCATGTCAACTTAGCCTAACTTTATAACCCCACAATCCGTGATATGATATCGAGATAAAAAAATCCAAAAAAAACACTTAGTCAAAAAAACAACATTCAACCAAAAAAACTTTAAAGAAGGCCCGAGCCAATGAGAACTAAACCATACACAAAAAATAAATTGAAAGGAATTAATTAGGGAGTAAATTGAAAAATAAAATAAATGAAGAAAGAGATAAAAAAGAGAGCAATAAAAAAAATGAGGATTAAACTTGGAAACCATATAAAATTAAATTAAATTCTCAAGGATAAAATAAAAAGAATAATAATGCAAAGGATTAAAAAATAGCAATAAAAAAAATGAGGACTAGATTGGATAAAAAAAAAATCTAATGAGATTAAATGATGAGGGATGAAATTAAAAATAAAATAAACTTAAAGAAGCGTCGAATCTAAAAAAATAAAAAAATAAAAAAATAAGGATGAAACCCAAAATAAATACAAACTAGATGACACAAGACACAGGAAAGAGAAAAGAAAAAAAGAACAAAAAAGATCAATTATCGCTGAATCACAGCACTCAAATGACAAAACACATCACTCTAATAAATATGTTGCCACTAGGTGAATAAGCCATCGGTTTTTTTGCCACCAAAATTTCCCCCACCCACCACCGGAATGGCTTGAGTAGGGTGATGATACAAGTAAAAGATAAACAGGTTTAACTTTCAATGTCCCAATAAAAGCATTGGAATTTAATTGATGTTGCGATTGACCATCGTGACATCAAATAATTATCGCGATTCAAAAACATAATATAAATTATATATTATATTTCTAAACCATCATATTATTTAAATATTAAGGTTTAAAATCATGATATTTAAAAATATATTATTTAATAGAAAACTTTTTCATACTATATTAATTCATTATTATTTTTTTATTTTATATAATAGTTGCCTAATTTATCCCAAGATTTTTTAAGAAAGAGTTTGAAAACAAAAGAACCTTCACAAATCAGCAGCCAGGTGCCGTCTTTTGAAATTGAGGGTAAAAATTGTCCTTGTAGAATACGATGGATACCCAGTATGACATAAAATGCATGCGCAGCATGCTAGGGCACATGGATCATGGCTTTTTTGTCGCCCGGAATAACACGTTACTTGTAATTGATTTTTTCTTAAAAGGCTTGGCTGTCTGTCTAATTCTAGTGAGATCAATGCGCATTGAGTCCCTGGTACGAAATGAAGAAAAGAATCCATTAGGAAACTCTTTTGTGTACTTTGTTAAGTCCTTAAACTCCTAATTCTAATTAAGGGAGGTAATTAAGTTTACCATCGATCATCTTTGGATTAGTTAAGTAATGAAAGCAAAGATAAAATAAATAAATATACAGAACCTCAGGGATTTGGACACTTTTCTCTTTCAATATAGTTTGATGATGGAGAATTCGAATTCGCACAACGTAATGGTGAAATAAATGGCTTCCTGTCTATTAACTTCACATGTTTTATTAGTTCATGGGCTTCCCAAGAAAAAAAAGCTGCTAGACCTCTGTTATCAAGGTTACTGATAATGATGAAACCAATCAATTAGAGTTTAAAATTTATTTACTGTGGTTAAGGTTCCATGACAAGGGGCCTTGGTTTGATTTCTTAGCTGGGATTCTCAAGGCATTTCTTCAGGGTCAATCTCAAGGATCTGAGCTTTCAGGGGCAATTAAAATAGATCTTCCCAAATATACATAAACAGATAATTAGGGTTCTAAATGAAACTGCCCTTTGAGTTGCAATCCTCAGCACCGGTGACTTTAGTCCGAAATAGATTCCTGCTTTCAGGAAAGTCCCAAGTAAATAATGCATTTTTCCTCAGGCTTCCTATGAAAGGTACAAACCCCTCGTACCAAAAAAACTTCCACCCCTCCCCCTCCAAGGTTAAATTTTAACCTCCTGAACCTCCTACCAAAAGTATCCTGGGACTTAAATAGCAACTGACCTAAAAAGTCCTAGCTGTAAGTTCTCAATCAGCTTTCAACTTTGATCACCTGATGTGACACCATGTGCATGCTTTAGTGAAGGAGGAGTCCGACTTTCCAATTTGCAAAGATGATTGGTTGCCACATGAGCCAATTTTGAGATCACGGGGTTCACTCAGCATCTCCTGCCAAAGAATCAGACATCAATTAAAATTATCACAACTGACAGCCTAACTAGGGTCTGGAATGCATCACAAAGGGACACCGAAGGAGATAGAGGAAAAGGAAATGGAGCAAAATATTATCTATCTAGAGGAATCTGAGATTCCTATAAGTTCAGTAACGCATTGCAATTCTTTACTATGCCCCAGTCCTTGCCTCCAAAATTTTTCGGCATTCTTATCACTTGTAATCATTTGAAAATGGAACAGGTACTGTTGCATATACCTATTGTTAGTCACTCTTTAGAGAAGGTCTTGGCTAACAATCAGAATCAAGTAAAAGATTTGTGAACATTGCTCTACAAGCTCTGCTACTTGAAGAACAAAATAGCAATATGCAAGAAAAAAATGATATAGGAAAGAACAAATAATAATGGCAACCTTACAGTCAAGCAAATCGAGAGAGAGACAAACAAGGTTATACAGACCCATAAATGTTGTGTATTTTTTGTTTTATTTTTTTGACTTTTTACTAAGAAATCAACAAAACATCAAGATTACCTCTATTAGAATGTTCTTTTAGCTGAGCAAGGGCTACTGCAATCTTAGCACCAACAAGTGCATTATTCTTCACAAGTGCAATGTCTGAGCTTGAGTTAAGATCAACATCACATCATCACAACAACAATGAAATTATGAAAATGAGCAGAGCAAGATTATTTATATGTCAAGTTCGTGGCCACAAAATAAAACTTCCCAAATTTGAATATCAGGTGTTAAGAACAAGAGAAAGGATACTAGATGCCAGTGAGGCTCCTCCAGTGAGTTCGTTCACTTTTGCAAGCAAGAATGGAGTTTCAGCATTGCCAGTTATATTCTTGTCCCTGAGGATCCAATTCCACAAATGTAAAACTTAAAGCAAAATAGTTAATAAATAGCAAAAAAAGTTGAAAACAAAATGGAGCCGAGAAGTTTCCAACCTAGCTTCTCTAAGGGCAATTTGTATAGCAGACTCGATTAAGCCTCCAGAAGCTGAGTGTTCCTTGGGGATTGGAACTGCAATTAGAATTCCAGATCCAAGCTTAAGTTTCAAGTTCGCATCTGCAGTTAATGAAGAAAGGAAGCACAGTTACTCATGATTCTTCTCATTCTTACATGGGCTGCGGGTGGAATAAAGGTAAATTGACCAAACTTTTTCACTTGCCTATTAGCCGAGCACAGTCATCTGGGGTGTCAACATGACAATGCACCTGTATTATTTGTCATAAATCAACAAGAAAAATTCATTAGATCATATGCGATTGCATGTTAAAAAGAAAACTTGCAGACACAATGTATTGATGCAGTGTGAAAGCAACATTTTTTTATGGCCACGGCCTTTTTCATGAATGCGGTATTATTTTCAGATGCATGTGTCTTTTGTGTTTCTCTTGTATAAAGCCCATCACAAGATTTATCAATCTTTTTTGGATTCATCTTGTGTATACCCCATGTCCTAGGTTCTGATCCTTGAAAATCTTGATAAAATTGGACTTAGGTAGACCAAAGTAGCCTGAAATACAGTAGACTGGACTCTGCTATTGTAACTGGTAGGTGCAGTGAGCACAACCAATATGGTTGATTTGGTCCACCTACACCAGTTTAGTACCCGTGTAAGCACACTTGAACCGTTATTTGTATCTCAGATTGAAAGAAACAGTACAAATTCAAGGGACCATAACATGGTGGGGATTTTTTTCCTCAGCCAGATAATATTAGGGAAAGTCATCAGGTGGTGCAATCCTAGAAAGTGGGCATACATTGCAGCCAAACCTGTATGCAGCCAAACCTAACAGATTTAACGATACTTGCGTTTTGCAAATTGCAGCTTCAAAAGAAGTATCAATTCATGAGAATGGGTGTACCTTGCAGCCACTTCTCTCTGTGAAAAATGCCGGAAACTCATTGGTCTTATAAGCAGCAACACAAACGCCCTGAGTCTCCTGTATTTTAAAAAGTGATATGAGCACCTGAAATTGAATTGCTTCCAAAGTTATACGGGGTAAAAAAGGAGATGTGTACCAAATATTCTAGGGTTCTGGGAATATCTAATATAGATTTTACTCCAGCAGAGATTACTGCAACTGGAGTCCTGCCAAGCTCTGTAAGATCAGAAGATATATCCATGGCTGCCAAGAAAACATGAGAAAATGTATGTCAATTCCAGCAATCAAATATGGTTTCATGAAAATCACCCCCTCTTCTTCCAGACCAGAAAGAAGTTCGCCCATATGGTCAGCAATGGATTAGTAGTGGATGTGTGTTCCAAACATCACATGATGACAATGAACAAGTCATGAGCATTGGGTGCTCCCAGTACACAACACTGCTACTAATGCTAGGCCGACCACACCACCAGGATATAGATGGAAGCTGAATTA